ACGTGCCACGAACTCGCCGCCGCCGTAATCTATTTTAATCGTTCTATCGCCGCCGTATTATTACCGCCGCGACATTACGAACACGGAGCTTATCGGAAACGACAGTAATCGTTTCCGCTGAGACTTATTGCCACCACCACCCGCAGTACCATCATCGGTATAATCGCAATATCACCACTATCTTACTGTAATTATATATTGAGACTATAAAACTACAGAGCCGTGAGTACCTACGAATTTATAATCGTGAATGGGAATATCATATGTAAAACCGCGAATTTTATTATATTCTTAACGTATACGTACGAAAACGTATACGTCATAAATAAATGAGTATTCAGTTTATATTACTAATTATCATCTTTTTGTATTATATAATTAATATATTTGTGTTCAATAAAGATTAACATGATTACCAAAATCCATGCATTGTGATTTAATAAATATTTGTATAGGAATAGGCTCAAAAAAACCTACCCGTAACAACTGGCGCCCAACAAGTTGGACTCGATCTCCACGACCACGAAAATAAGAACTCGCTCTCTACCGACTGAGAAAATAAATCTACATCTATAAGTTTTACATAATTAATACAAAATGCCGAGAAAAAAGAAAAATGAAGACTTAAGTGAAGACTGGGAAAGAAGAATGATAGAAATAGAAATACAAATAAAAGAACAAACGAAAAAGATAGAAAAACAGAAAAAGGAAATACAAGCTATTAAAGAAGAACATAAAGAAGACATACAATACTTAAAAATACAATGGGAAGAAATACACATTAAAAAAATACAGGAAACAGAAGAAAAATATAAATCAACAATTGAAGAAATGGAAAACCGATATATAACAACATTCCGAAATTTGGGAGACGACTACAATCAAAACACACAAAATAAAAAGGAAGAAGTCTGCAGGGGACCACTTACAGACATTACAAAACCGTTATTCTATGGCAACCGGAGAGACATGCACCCCATAGATTTTCTAAATAGATTAAATGAATATTTTACATTAAAACAAATTATGTATACGGACGAAAAATTAATTATTGCAGGGGACTGTCTAAAATCGACAGCAAGTAGCTGGTTTGCTACCATACGGTTCCAAATAACAAATTTCCAAGAGTTCCAAGACGCATTCAAAGATGAGTATTGGTCGCGGGACATACAAATGCAGACATGGAGTCAATGCTTAGGAGTGAAACAAATACCGAATGAATCCAATTATCGGGAACATTTCTCATATTGGGCCACAAAATTAAGACATCTAGAAGTACCAAGGCTGTCTGAACAAGAAATTGTGAGTAATATTGCCGGACATTATCCTGGATATTTAAGGGCAATTTTAATTTCGCTACCCGAATGCACCATATTAAACGCAATGAAATTATTGGGTGCAGAAGAACACCGAAGAACAACGGAGAGAGAAAATAATAATTATAATAACAGACCACACCAAAATAGGGACAATAATAATAATAATCAGAATAGGAACAGAGAAGACCCACCACGAAGAGAGGGCAATTGGCGATCAAGGGGAAGAAACGAACCAACAAGAGAGTACCAAACTCCGAGAAACACACAAGAATCGGGTAACACACAATGGCGAGATAGACAAGCAATTAATCAAATTAGCACCACCGAAGATAGACAGGAAGATACTGAGGATGGAGAACATACTAATCATACAATTAATAATATACAAACAAACCATGGGTCAATGAGTCCATATATGAAATGTATAGTCGAAGGAGAGACAATCGAAGCACTAATCGACACCGGAGCGACTATCAGTGTCATCAATAAAGAACTGGCGGACCAAATATTAAGAACAAATGCCGAGATACCTATATTACCAATCAGCAGCGTACAAATTAGTAACGCAGTGGGACGGAAAATATGTAAAGTGTCCAAACAACTATTTTGCAGCTGCACAATAGGGGACAAGCAACTATTTATTAATTTTATACAAGTAGAAAATCTCAATGAACGAGCCATTATAGGTGCTGATGTCCTAAATCAATATAATGCACATATTAATTTCACAAACAAGACTATTAAATGGTCAATTGAAGGGGAACAACAAATCACGCCATTCTCCGAAAATCCAGCAATACAAGGTAAACAAATCACGACCATCGAAACTATGGAAGAACCCATAACCAACATCACACTAAGCCCACAGGAAGATGAGAAATTTAAACAATTACTACAAGACTATCAACACATATTCTCGGACAATCCCGGACTTATAAAGGAATACGAATGCCAAATCCAAGTAAGTCCCGGGGAACCAGTATATCAACGGCCTTACCCTATACCTATATCACGTCTAAGCAAAATGGACAAGGAAATACAACGGATGCTGGACCTTGGCATAATAGAAAAATCTGATTCACCATGGTCTTCGCCGATCATTGGGGTAGAGAAAAAGAATGGGGACATCCGACTTTGCATAGATGCAAGACAAATCAACAAACGAATAATACCAAACAGAGAATGCCCTATGAATATGGAGGAGATTATGTTAAAATTCCAAGGAGCCAAATACCTAAGTACTATCGACTTAACTGCAGGCTACTGGCAGTGCCGGTTGAAAAAAGAAAGTCGACCTATTACAGCATTTTTACATCGAGGGCGGAACTATCAGTTCAAAGTTTTACCGTTCGGGCTCGTCAATTCCGTAGCGGAGTTTCAAAAAATTTTGGATCAGGTCTTGGGACCAGAGATACTGGAATTCACTGCTACCTACGTAGATGACATACATATTACATCAGCAACATTCGAAGAACACATAAGTCATTTAACAGCCATTTTCAGGCAGTTTGAAAAGCACAACGTCACAGTAAACATACACAAATCACAATTTTTACAAAAGAAGATCACTTTCCTCGGGCACATAATATCGGAAGAAGGTATCAGTATGGACCCGGAAAAAATAAGGACGATACAAGAATTTCCAGCACCGAAAAATCAAAAACAAGTCCGTGCATTTTTGGGCTTCATCAACTTTTATCGGAAATATATCCGAGACCTATCAGCACTCACCGGTAAGCTGAGCCAATTGACAAAAAAGGACCAAGTATGGGCATGGAATCCAGAACAGCAAGAGGTATTCGACAAAATTAAAAAGAACTTTTTAGAGGATATTATTATCAAGTACCCAGACTTCAACAAACCATTTTATATGGCGACAGATGCTTCCAGCACACATATTGGGGCAGAACTATACCAGATAGACGATAATGGGCAACATCGAACTATTGGATTCATCAGCAGAACATTGCAGGAAACCGAAAGAAAGTATTACACTACCGAACGGGAACTTTTAGCCATTGTATTTGGATGCAAAAAATACCGAAACTACATCCTAGGGCACACCACATATTTGCTAACAAACCACCAGGCATTAACATTCCTAAACACCTGTAGACTACTGAATGCAAGACTAATGCGATGGTCAATACAAATACAGGAATTTCATCTCAACATACAATTCATATCCGGTAAGGATAATATTGGTGCCGATATGCTGACAAGGTACAACCAATCGGTGGAAAACCAAGTACCGACTCACCAACAGATATTTATTAATCAATTAATAATTGATCAATATAGCAAAGAATTCGTCAAACGGTTACAACAACTACCAGAACTACAACAAGCGGATCCGAAAATACAAAAAATCGTATCTCGCCTACCAACCGAACCACAATTGCCGTATAAACTACACCAGCAATTACTGTTCTACGTCGACAAAAAGGGAAAGAACCGACTCATGATTCCAGATCAACTAGCAGTGGAATTGGTCAAGGAAGCACATGAAAGATATGGACACAGTGGGGCGACAAAAATATACCAATTACTCAAACTGGATTGTCAACTTAGTCATATGTACAAGACCATCAAGAAAATCACACAGGCCTGTGATATATGCCAAAAGAGCAAGATATTCAACCAAATGGCTAGGGGACCAATGAAGAATAATATCCCAATGAAACCACGAGAAATGGTATCGCTAGATCTAGTCGGACCATTACCAACGGGACAACTTGGGGCAAAACACATACTTGTAATCATGGATGTCTTCGCGAAACATGTACAAGTATACCCGCTCAAGAAGGCCAGATCAGACAGCATAATAAATCGAATTGAAAAGCAATACATACCTCAATATGGAACGTTCAAAAAGATGCTCACAGATAACGGAACCCAATTCCATAGTCGTAGCTGGATAGAGAGTATGACAAGACTAGGAATTAAAATTGTACGAACAACCACATACAATCCTGAAGGGAACCCCGTAGAAAGGACCAACAGGGAAATTGGTCGGATTTTGAGAACCTATTGCCACAATAAACATACTAATTGGGTGCAGTATTTAAAAAAAATCGAGTTCTGGATTAACAACACAACACATTCTATTACTGGATTTACACCACGAGAGTTGATGGGCCTACCTAAACAAACACTCACATTAGAAACACTAATTGATTTTCCAACAAACAACCCGGAAGTCGAGACACGAATTATGATCAAAACAGCAAGGGAACGGATGAAGAAGATGGCAATCCAACGGAATAACAACCTGGATCGAGGAAAAAAGTTCATAAAGTATCAAGTAAACCAAGAAGTGCTGATACGGGAACACAAGTTATCCTCAGCAGAGGACAAAGAAATCCGAAAACTCTTCCTTTTGTATAGGGGACCATACTACGTCAAAGAAGTAAGAGACAACAATACCATAGTAGTCCAGGAAGGGCCAGAGATTACGACATACAACGTCAGGAATGTCAGACCGTATGTCAGTATGAACTAAATACCAAAAAAAAAAAAAAAAAAAAAAAACAAAAAAAAATATATAATCGTACTAACAATTAAAGTAAATATATATGTTTCAATGTTCTGTGTAAAATAAATGCAGTTGGTGACGGATTTTATGTCAAACAAATAAAAAAAATGTATATACAAATGTTAACTCTTTTAGTTAGGATAAAAATGGAAAGGTATCGTCAGCGAATTAGCCTGCTGTTTGGGGAAGATGGATTCACGGACGATGAGAAGACAATCCAAGAGCAACAAACACTGAAACAACGGATAAAAGATGCACTGGGAAGTGACAGTGAAACCGAGGAACCGACAGAACACTGGTCTGACACCAGCATAAGCACCGACGAGGAAGAAGACACAGTCGACCTAACATGCAACGATCTGGAGGCAGACCTAAAAGACTTGCAAATCGGAAAAGTACAGACGGAGCACATCACTTTCGACGAAAGAAGACATGCGAAGGAGTTAGCTCAATTCCAGAGACAAATGGCCGCACGTATCAACAAGAGGAAGTATAATGATGATATTGGGCAGTACGGAGTCGAAGTTTTTCAAAAGGCAGAAAACTTACTTCAACGAACAAGTCTTATAGAAGCAACAATAACATCACTATCAGCAGTATCAGAGAGCATCAATGACTTACCAACACCAGCACAACACGATGGTATCAATGACACCAAACCACGACTAACCAGAGCTGAACGTCGCACCGCGGACAAACGAGCCTGGTATAAACGGAAAAAGTAATCACCATGAACAATCCAACAAAAAAAAAATGTGTAAATAAATGTAAATAGTTTTTTTTCTTCCTCCTTTTCCTACTAAAGGAAAAAATCATCACAAAAAAAAAGGGGACAATGTAACGAACACGAAATATATACATGACGCGCTATCTAACCAAAAACACGACACAGTACAACAGCCGCTCATCAGTGGCGATAGAGTGCGCACTTTCCCGAGGGAAGACTGCGCACCAATACCAACCACATAGGCGGCCATGCAAAAACATATCGATTCTGCACGCGCGGTCGACCGGCAAACTACATATAAGGGAGCCCGGCCGACACAACAAATTGTCTTGTGTAGCTCCAGCAGTAACTGGCTAATATCACCACGGTTCTCGGCCACCTTTTGGAAGGCTAAAACCAACGGAAATATTCGGCCTAGACTGCTAGGGCTATCCGCTGCGCAAATACGGGTCAGAGCGTGCAGAGTAACTGCCGCCGCTGTCGTTTATTCGTCTTTTTGTTTCTTTTCCGCGCACCACGCTCTCGGCCACCCTCCGTGGGTAGGTTAGAACGTGCCGATCGTAATTACCGCCGCCGTAATTCTACAGCCGCCGTAATTCTACCGCCGTCGTTTATTCGTCCTTTTTGTTTCTTTTCCGCGCACCACGCTCTCGGCCACCCTCCGTGGGTAGGTTAGAACGTGCCGATCGTAATTACCGCCGCCGTAATTCTACAGCCGCCGTAATTCTACCGCCGCCGTAATTCTACTGCCGACCATAATTCTACCACCGTCGTAATTCTACGGCCGATCGTAATTCTACAGTTGCCGTAATTCCACCGTCGTCATAATCTTACTGCCGCCGTAATTGTACCAGCGTTCTTTTTAGACACGGACAGGACGTGCCACGAACTCGCCGCCGCCGTAATCTATTTTAATCGTTCTATCGCCGCCGTATTATTACCGCCGCGACATTACGAACACGGAGCTTATCGGAAACGACAGTAATCGTTTCCGCTGAGACTTATTGCCACCACCACCCGCAGTACCATCATCGGTATAATCGCAATATCACCACTATCTTACTGTAATTATATATTGAGACTATAAAACTACAGAGCCGTGAGTACCTACGAATTTATAATCGTGAATGGGAATATCATATGTAAAACCGCGAATTTTATTATATTCTTAACGTATACGTACGAAAACGTATACGTCATAAATAAATGAGTATTCAGTTTATATTACTAATTATCATCTTTTTGTATTATATAATTAATATATTTGTGTTCAATAAAGATTAACATGATTACCAAAATCCATGCATTGTGATTTAATAAATATTTGTATAGGAATAGGCTCAAAAAAACCTACCCGTAACAACTGGCGCCCAACAAGTTGGACTCGATCTCCACGACCACGAAAATAAGAACTCGCTCTCTACCGACTGAGAAAATAAATCTACATCTATAAGTTTTACATAATTAATACAAAATGCCGAGAAAAAAGAAAAATGAAGACTTAAGTGAAGACTGGGAAAGAAGAATGATAGAAATAGAAATACAAATAAAAGAACAAACGAAAAAGATAGAAAAACAGAAAAAGGAAATACAAGCTATTAAAGAAGAACATAAAGAAGACATACAATACTTAAAAATACAATGGGAAGAAATACACATTAAAAAAATACAGGAAACAGAAGAAAAATATAAATCAACAATTGAAGAAATGGAAAACCGATATATAACAACATTCCGAAATTTGGGAGACGACTACAATCAAAACACACAAAATAAAAAGGAAGAAGTCTGCAGGGGACCACTTACAGACATTACAAAACCGTTATTCTATGGCAACCGGAGAGACATGCACCCCATAGATTTTCTAAATAGATTAAATGAATATTTTACATTAAAACAAATTATGTATACGGACGAAAAATTAATTATTGCAGGGGACTGTCTAAAATCGACAGCAAGTAGCTGGTTTGCTACCATACGGTTCCAAATAACAAATTTCCAAGAGTTCCAAGACGCATTCAAAGATGAGTATTGGTCGCGGGACATACAAATGCAGACATGGAGTCAATGCTTAGGAGTGAAACAAATACCGAATGAATCCAATTATCGGGAACATTTCTCATATTGGGCCACAAAATTAAGACATCTAGAAGTACCAAGGCTGTCTGAACAAGAAATTGTGAGTAATATTGCCGGACATTATCCTGGATATTTAAGGGCAATTTTAATTTCGCTACCCGAATGCACCATATTAAACGCAATGAAATTATTGGGTGCAGAAGAACACCGAAGAACAACGGAGAGAGAAAATAATAATTATAATAACAGACCACACCAAAATAGGGACAATAATAATAATAATCAGAATAGGAACAGAGAAGACCCACCACGAAGAGAGGGCAATTGGCGATCAAGGGGAAGAAACGAACCAACAAGAGAGTACCAAACTCCGAGAAACACACAAGAATCGGGTAACACACAATGGCGAGATAGACAAGCAATTAATCAAATTAGCACCACCGAAGATAGACAGGAAGATACTGAGGATGGAGAACATACTAATCATACAATTAATAATATACAAACAAACCATGGGTCAATGAGTCCATATATGAAATGTATAGTCGAAGGAGAGACAATCGAAGCACTAATCGACACCGGAGCGACTATCAGTGTCATCAATAAAGAACTGGCGGACCAAATATTAAGAACAAATGCCGAGATACCTATATTACCAATCAGCAGCGTACAAATTAGTAACGCAGTGGGACGGAAAATATGTAAAGTGTCCAAACAACTATTTTGCAGCTGCACAATAGGGGACAAGCAACTATTTATTAATTTTATACAAGTAGAAAATCTCAATGAACGAGCCATTATAGGTGCTGATGTCCTAAATCAATATAATGCACATATTAATTTCACAAACAAGACTATTAAATGGTCAATTGAAGGGGAACAACAAATCACGCCATTCTCCGAAAATCCAGCAATACAAGGTAAACAAATCACGACCATCGAAACTATGGAAGAACCCATAACCAACATCACACTAAGCCCACAGGAAGATGAGAAATTTAAACAATTACTACAAGACTATCAACACATATTCTCGGACAATCCCGGACTTATAAAGGAATACGAATGCCAAATCCAAGTAAGTCCCGGGGAACCAGTATATCAACGGCCTTACCCTATACCTATATCACGTCTAAGCAAAATGGACAAGGAAATACAACGGATGCTGGACCTTGGCATAATAGAAAAATCTGATTCACCATGGTCTTCGCCGATCATTGGGGTAGAGAAAAAGAATGGGGACATCCGACTTTGCATAGATGCAAGACAAATCAACAAACGAATAATACCAAACAGAGAATGCCCTATGAATATGGAGGAGATTATGTTAAAATTCCAAGGAGCCAAATACCTAAGTACTATCGACTTAACTGCAGGCTACTGGCAGTGCCGGTTGAAAAAAGAAAGTCGACCTATTACAGCATTTTTACATCGAGGGCGGAACTATCAGTTCAAAGTTTTACCGTTCGGGCTCGTCAATTCCGTAGCGGAGTTTCAAAAAATTTTGGATCAGGTCTTGGGACCAGAGATACTGGAATTCACTGCTACCTACGTAGATGACATACATATTACATCAGCAACATTCGAAGAACACATAAGTCATTTAACAGCCATTTTCAGGCAGTTTGAAAAGCACAACGTCACAGTAAACATACACAAATCACAATTTTTACAAAAGAAGATCACTTTCCTCGGGCACATAATATCGGAAGAAGGTATCAGTATGGACCCGGAAAAAATAAGGACGATACAAGAATTTCCAGCACCGAAAAATCAAAAACAAGTCCGTGCATTTTTGGGCTTCATCAACTTTTATCGGAAATATATCCGAGACCTATCAGCACTCACCGGTAAGCTGAGCCAATTGACAAAAAAGGACCAAGTATGGGCATGGAATCCAGAACAGCAAGAGGTATTCGACAAAATTAAAAAGAACTTTTTAGAGGATATTATTATCAAGTACCCAGACTTCAACAAACCATTTTATATGGCGACAGATGCTTCCAGCACACATATTGGGGCAGAACTATACCAGATAGACGATAATGGGCAACATCGAACTATTGGATTCATCAGCAGAACATTGCAGGAAACCGAAAGAAAGTATTACACTACCGAACGGGAACTTTTAGCCATTGTATTTGGATGCAAAAAATACCGAAACTACATCCTAGGGCACACCACATATTTGCTAACAAACCACCAGGCATTAACATTCCTAAACACCTGTAGACTACTGAATGCAAGACTAATGCGATGGTCAATACAAATACAGGAATTTCATCTCAACATACAATTCATATCCGGTAAGGATAATATTGGTGCCGATATGCTGACAAGGTACAACCAATCGGTGGAAAACCAAGTACCGACTCACCAACAGATATTTATTAATCAATTAATAATTGATCAATATAGCAAAGAATTCGTCAAACGGTTACAACAACTACCAGAACTACAACAAGCGGATCCGAAAATACAAAAAATCGTATCTCGCCTACCAACCGAACCACAATTGCCGTATAAACTACACCAGCAATTACTGTTCTACGTCGACAAAAAGGGAAAGAACCGACTCATGATTCCAGATCAACTAGCAGTGGAATTGGTCAAGGAAGCACATGAAAGATATGGACACAGTGGGGCGACAAAAATATACCAATTACTCAAACTGGATTGTCAACTTAGTCATATGTACAAGACCATCAAGAAAATCACACAGGCCTGTGATATATGCCAAAAGAGCAAGATATTCAACCAAATGGCTAGGGGACCAATGAAGAATAATATCCCAATGAAACCACGAGAAATGGTATCGCTAGATCTAGTCGGACCATTACCAACGGGACAACTTGGGGCAAAACACATACTTGTAATCATGGATGTCTTCGCGAAACATGTACAAGTATACCCGCTCAA